TTTATAGCCAGAATGATATTTATCGGAAGTCGATATATGCCGATTTACGTCCTGATGTAATCGGCCGATAACCGATCTGCATAAAAATTGCCGATTATCGGCTTCTACCGATTTCCGATTATCGGCTCATCACTATTTATTTATTCGTGACTATTTATTTAGGACACTTTCAGACCGAATCTACCACGCCCAAGACAAGACTTCAATCCTGGCATTCAAAGTTTCGACTTAGATAACTACAATACAAGAGGCAAAAACGTGGAATACAATCAACTAGCTCCTGAAACCAGTGGTGCAAATGAATTTTATCCTCAGAAACCTTACCAAGAAACAATGATGAACTCAAAAGGACGAACTGAAAACAGAGGCGTTTACAATACAAGAGGGACAACCTTGAAATACAGTCAACTAGCTCCTAGTACCAGTACTGCAAAAGATTTTTATCCGCAGAAAACTTATCATGGAACAATGATGAATTCAAAAGGACGAACTGAAAACAGAGGCGATTGCAATACAAGAGGGAAAACCTTGAAATACAGTCAACTGGCTCCTAGTACCAGTACTGCAAATGATTTTTATCCACAGAAAACTTATCAGGGAACAAAATCAATCAACTCGAAAGGATCAACTCAAAGGAGAGACACAGACAACTACAATTATACAAGAGACGTAGATGTGAACTTCGATATAATGCCTTTTACCTCTCGTGGTGAAAATAATTTCTTACATCCGCAGAAATGCTATCAAGGAACAAATGAAAACTCTTTTCCAACTCCAAAGAGAAACAGGTCGGAGCTATTGTCGTTGTTTGGTGGGAAAAGTCGACCAGATAAACAAGGTCGTTCATGCAATGAAACTATCACACCTCCACAGCAAAACTTTTCAACAGTCAGTGATTCTGAAAATGTCTCTTATAAAAAGACATTACCAACAACCAACAATCCTTTCTCTCAAGCGTTTGACATTTCCCTTGGTGATGAAGACAATTTTTCTGACACCTCATTCCAATCTCTGTATAACCCCAAGAGTGCGACAAATGCTACGACGTCCTGGCTAAATGGTCAACCTTGGCATTCTGATAAGACAGAAGTCATTGACGTTAATGTCTGTCATGATGAATATGTTGTTCCAGAAATTGACGACGTCTTGTTAGATTACAATCACGAGAATAACTCCAATAGCAATAATTTCACTTCTGCAACTTCGAGTGTGAATACACTGCCTTGGAAATCTAACGATCCTCAAGTGACAAGAGGCTGCAATGTTCTGGATAATAAAGATTTTGATGAAGAAATGGATGATGTGGTTTTCGACCATGATGATTATGATGGGTTCGGGATGTTTAGCACATCTTCTAAAACAACCAGATCTTTGGCTGGTCATAAATTAGGATGCAAGGATCGAAGTTTTCGTAACCATAACAATATTTCTAGAAGTGCTCCTGGTACAACGGTCTCTAGGCTGAATGATTCACTCAGTTGGGAATCTAACAAATCTCGAGTCTGTGTCGGCAGTAACGTCTTAGTTAATGGGCCTGAGTTTGATCCGGAATTCGATAATGTTGTGTTAGATGATGATGATGAGTTCGCTACGTTTAGTATATCTTCTGGAAAATCTACATCTGTGGCCTCTGGTCGTCAAAGTTTTGACCACGGCAATGCCCGTCGCTTAACTGTAAGTTTTAACTAATTGGGCGCCAGCACTTTACCCTTGACGAGTAAAATTGTCTTAATGTTAGACAGAGTAAAATAATAAAGTAGGGCATGTTTTTTTTCTCCAATACATTAGGTTGATGATGACACATTAAGTCCGCTACAGGAAAACGCCACTGAAAGAGAACAACTAAACAATATACCATCTACTTCCAGGAATTTCCTACCAAATCGCAGCTTACAACACTCGTCCTCAAGAAACAATAAGTTTACTTCACCTTTGATAGTTTCAGTTAAAAACAATCCCCATGCATCTTCCAGTTATCAAAAGGATTCTGGAAGTTCTAATATCGAGCGAACTACATGTGCGGTTGGATCTTCCATTCGTCCGGTAGGTTTAATGAAAGGAAACTGTAAAGATCTTGGTCAAACGGGGAGAGAGTTGATGAGAATTGGCAAGCGAGACAAATTGCATGAGAGTTTTCTTAACTTTGGTGCCCCGGTCAAACGAGAACAAGAGTTGGCAAGCGAGGCAAATTGAATGAGAGTTTTCATAACTCTGGTGCCCCAATGAAACGGAACAGGAGTTGCATGAGAGTTGATGAGAGTTAACTGGATATTACCGCATGTAGCAAAAACTTTTTTCAACTCTCATTCTCGTTTGACCGTGACTTAAATTTACTTTTACACTGGATAGCCCTTTCAGTTCCATTTTAAGTTTTCTTCCTGGAGGTCAGTCCCATTGAAGGAGATCGAACCGGAAAACCTGCTGCGTTTAGGAAAGTGAAACTGGAAATTTGTTCATTTGATAACGCATGATACATTGGTGGAAGACAAAATTAATGTCCTGCTGAAAGTCTAGGAAACGTAAATTAAACTAACTTTATACTGGATAACTGGCTATCAAGTGCATGAGTTCTAAATATGATTTCCTAGAGGTCTACTAAGGGTAATCATTAAAGTTTCCATTGATGTAAAATGTTCCCATATTTTCTCCTATTTAGCAATCGTTTTCTGGTGAACTGTACTTTCCTTCCAACGCTGAATGCTGTGGTAGTGTCACACCAACACGACAGCTCATCATTCCAACAAAATTTACCACCGCCATGGATTATAAAGGCATCTTGAAATCTTCTTTAAGAGGTGAGACTTTGATGTCAATATTATTAATGCATGATAAATAGTACATTCTGTTAAGTGTCCGAGGCTGCCCTGAAACGCTTATAGAAACCAGTTGTTTCTATTTAAACTAACTTTATTTAGACTGCAGGTTTCCTGATAAAATATTATAATTATTTGAGGTAAAATTACTTAATCAGAGCCATCTCTTCATAGTCCACTGTTACTATAGGAAGAAACTGGGGTATCCATAAATTAAGAAAACTCTTAATACATGCATCTGAGGTTAAATTGTGCTGGAATCGAACCTCGGTTTTAGAAATGAAAGACACATATATTTAGTACATTTTTCAAGTTAACTCGTTCCATATATCTTAATTTATGTTATAACAAACAGGTGTTACCACAAGTATTTCTTCACATATTTGTAACCAGCAACCAAGTACACAATTATAACACTATATAGATCAGCAAATAACTATATCTTCCATGCATTCATGTCACACTAATCTAAAACAATTCACAATACTTTACCAAGGTCTTAATAAGATTTGCAATTCTCTACCCTCTTGTGAGGGTGAGAAAGGGGGGAGGGGGGGTATGGATCACGTTTCACAACGACTGTCAGTTAAAAACTACATCATAACTTAGAAGTTTGAGTGACAAGTATGTCCGACGACCTACGAAAGGCCCCCGAAGTTTTTACTCTTGTGCAGATCATATAAATTGATTATCACGTATCATGTCTAATTATGACTATTATAAAATAGATCGAAATAAACAAAGAAAAATCGCAGTTCACGAAACAGACATCCTTAATTCTCATTTCACGGAGCATTTTTATCACGCCTCACGGCTGTAGAACAAATCACATTTCACGACACTAAAATCAAGCATTTCACGTTTCACGCGAACAAATATTCACCATTCACGACTCACGAAAATACCCTTTCTCACCCTCTCTTGTATACTGTATGAGACCCATCTAGTCTTTCCTTATTCATGAAAAACATGATACAATTCTTATCTAAGCTAAATGACAATGCCGCACTTGTAATGTGTACCTTAAATAAATAGAATATTCTAAATCTGCCCAAGGTGGCCTCACTATAGATAAGCCTTACGGTTTCATGAGGTGTCCTTTCCTTATATAATACTGCTATATAGACTACTATGTGTAAACTTAATATTGGTGGCAAATAAATGTATCTTACAAGTATACACTATACTGTAACTGCTGTGCCATTGTTTCTAGAACACTTGAATATTATATTGTTTGAACTGGCCCAGAAATATCATGGAATCCTTTGCAAAGCTGATATCACTTCATCCGATGATACTTTCTCAGGTACAGTCAAACTTTTACGGTTTGATCAATGTTTCGATTAACAGTGTAAACAATCAAGAACTACTGTGCCTTTTTTCAGATCAGAAAGAAAATGTCAAAGGACCTTCATGTTCGCATGGTATGTTGAAAATCAATTCTTAGAAAATATTATGTAAAAAGCGATCTGGTTGTGGTCCCCAGTTGACTGTGATGGTGATGAAATGGACAGTATACCTTTTATTTCTTTGTCAGGTCCTGCGAAACTTCGAGCTGTGAAAAAGGATGGTCCGAATAAGGTTTAATTTTTACTTCATTCACTGTAGATCCAGTATGAAAATCATTCACATGTGAAATTTTATGTGAACATTTTACATGTGATAATGGTCATTTCATGTGTGAATTAAATCTGTCTGAAATCTGCCTAGAAACGTCATCGTACGACCGTTAAAACTAAAAAAAAATGTTGTGTTGACTCACAATTTAACCGCTGCTGCAGTAATCATGATATTTTCCTATTTTAAAGGGTCGCCATTTTTACACCTGTCCTGGCTCAGGCTCCAATCAATGCAAGGTACTGTACAGGCATTTAGCCAGACGGCTGGCAACCTCTGGTTTTTAATAGACGATCATGGCATGCCTAAGAAAATATATTTTTTAAACAGGAAATTATAAAATGGCTGACGTACGTTTCGGCAATTTTTTGTCGAAAAGACGACGAATTATGAGTATACAGTATGAGAATTGATTTCAAGCTCCATGCTTTTTGACCACGATTTTGACCAGCTAGGTTGCCACATCTACGGTATTTTTTGCTTGATCGTAGTGGTTGACTGATCGTTTGTAAACAATGCTATAATCGTACTCATTCTAACATTATTATTAATAGTAACTACAGTAGGACTTAACACACTGCAGTTTTTTTCTTATCCTGTTTACAAACATTTTTTTTAGTTTTTCCAATGGGCTGATGAAAGGCAAACAGCATCTACAACGGGCACCAAGAAAATATCGCTGACCTCAACTGACAGCATTAGAGTATTCTTCAAAAGCGAGGTGATCATTTTGAAATTATTTGATAAATCTTGTGTTCAGTATAACATTATGTCCATCATTTAATATATTGTAATTTAGAAGCGGCGTTGCGTTGCCTATGGGATAGTGGGTTAATTTTTTAAAATTTCTATTTATTATAAGGGTATTTATTTCTATCACAATTGTCTTATGGAGAGAAGGTCGCAACCAACCAAATTCTTTGGAAAGGTACGTGTTTACATAGGGGTGGAAAAAATAGGCGAGCACGAAATGTTAAACAGCTGCAGGAACTTCGTTTGAATGAAGATTTGCTGTTGAAAATTTGAAGGAAACTCCCATGTCCCACTATGGGCGCAACAACATATTGTTGACAGACATTATTTCTTGAATTTAAAACCATGGTCAGCTAGAACACTAGATGTTTATGCACATGCAGATTTAGCACAAAAATACTCCGTTGGTCTGCAGGAAATTTTTGTCTCCAGGTTGTGCTTCCAGGGAGAAAATTTCTTTTTTCCTACCCAAAACTCATGAGTGTATGTTTTTCCAAATTGCACGAGAAACCATGCCATTATACATACAGTATACAAATTGAATAGTTTTACCATATCACACCAATTTACCATAGTATTAATAATATACATGAAAAAATTATGCAGTCACATGCGTGCCTTGCATTGGAATAATCTTCCCCATGAGGCAAAAATTGCTGAATCCCTAAGCTCTTTCAAGTCGATATTGAAACAAAGAATGAGTTGAAATTTGCTTGTGTGTAATCGTGCAGCTAAAATCACCTGTATTTTTTTATTTTGTTATATTTTGTATTTCCTGTATGTTAACTTCTTGTAATAGGTAATTTCACGCCCCTCATGGAAACCAGCCTTCCAACGGCTGTTGAGGCTAGCGTGGTTAAAATAAAGTTTTGTATTGATGTGCATAGATCACATGCGAAATAGTTAATTTTAATATAAATAATTTTAATAGAAAATCTGCTGAAAACGCCAGCCATTTTTGTCACTTGTAAATGTTTGGGTGAATGAAATTTGCACTGTTAAGTATTTCATTTCTTGGCACTGTATTTTATTTTTTGGCACTGTATTTTGAAAATATTTTTCATGTGTATTATTTTTACAGAAATATTCTAAAAAAGGTTCCAATACAGATTATGGAAAGAAAGTGATGTACATCGTATTGAAGTACAGAGATAGTTCGTCGTTGTATACGAAAGATGATATCTGGATCATTTCTAAGAGTATCAATTTTGAACCAAGAACAACATTCGTTGCGAAGAGTATGTTTTATGGACCTTCATCATCTGGTGATCTTGAAATCGAACCCGTCAGTGGTTATTCACCATCAAACTGGAGATCTGGTGATACTGTCCATGCTATCTGGGCCTGCAATGCTGGGACGGAGTTATCCTGTATACAGAACCTCGATGATTATGCCACATTGCAACACATGCCTCTTCTTCCATATATAATGAATGGGTAAGTCTCATCCTTTATAGACCCATTGCACTGACGTCACAAATCCTTAGAGTGTCCTCCAGATGCTCCCTAACAATATCTATTCGGGTACAACAACTACATACAGCGCAAAAATGAACCATTTTAATACAACATTATTATAAAGTTTTACAAAATTTGCTTTGTTTACAAAAGTTATATTATGCATAGATTGCTAATTTGTCCTCCAGATGCATCGTCACCGGCGCTGTGACGTCATGTGCAATGGGTCTATAGAAAGAGCAAGAATCACATCCTACAATCAACAATCTATAGTTTATCCCTTACACAAAATTCACATGGTGTCATTTCACATGTCAAACTTTATGTGAACATTTGACATGTGATAATGGTCATTTCATGTGTGAAATTCAAACTTTTTACATGCGAAATTTTGTTTTCACAAACAGTAGCTACTGTACAACTTTTCGCATGTGAAATCGAAGGTTTATATGTGGAAATGAATTTCACATGTGAAATGATTATTTCGTCTGTGGAATTGGAACAGTTCATCAATGCGAAATCATATGTGGAATTTTCCTAAGGGTTGGGTCACCAAGCACTTGCTTTATATGATTATCAAATTTGATATCATATGCATGTAAATTTATTTAAAATCACCCACCAATAAGATTGGCAGATTGCCAAATATAATGTAATAATATTTTTGCAGTTTGTCTTTGTTTTAGTATCTTCCATGATTGTATTTTGTAGATCACGTCCTTCGTACAGTTTCCAGCGCACTCAACGTCACTCGTTCTCCGCACCCCTCTCTGGCGTCATGGACAGAAACTCGCTGGGAATTTCCTGGCAAGTAACTGTAAGTAAAATCTTAGAATTATAGTAGTCTGTAGAAGACATGCAGATGCAGATTTAGGCACAAAAATACTCCGTTGGTCTGCAGGAGATTTTTTCTCCAGGTTATGCTCCCAGGAAGAAAATTATTTTTTCCTTCCCTGGTTGAAAGATTCATGCAGTAACCCGCACCTTAAAACCCAACGTATATATTAGAGGGTTGAATTGAAATACGCTATATAATTTAAACATAGGAACGAGAGACAGAGGAAATGATCGAATTGCACAAGCTTAATACGGTGAGTTTATAAACTGTACTGCAACAACAATTTATTATAAATTTTAATCTCATGTTTTTGACGTGATTATGACGTTAACAGGACCAAGCAGCTGCCCTTCGTTCTTGTGCAAAAATGTTTCTCTCAGAAAATGAAGACAGAATGGAATGCCTTCCTATTACGCTAATACACGGTAAATACAGTAAATGGTGTAGCAAGTATCGTATTATCTATTGAGAGTGCATGGTTTACATTCGGGGTGGCGTTCTTGATTTTAGTTGTCTTTTTTGTGCTGTATGCAGATCGTCTTAGTATTCTTTTTGTTTTTCAAGGTGTATTTGGAGCTGGGAAGAGTTTTTTGTTGGCCGTAGTTGTTTTACTGATGGTGAGATTATTTGAGATTGCGGACGCATCTGATGAAGCAAGGTAAGAGAGAAATTATGAATTACTCTATATTTAATTTACAAGTTCGAAACCCAAACTAACCTAACTCCAGCGAGTTACTTTTAAACAATACATGGAGTAAACTATTTAAACACCGTGCTTCCAACATCCCTAGGAAATATAAAACCTTAAAACCTTAATATTCACAAAGAAGCGGTTATATTAAATTTATACCCTTGTAGACCTTGTCTAAGTACCTGAGTTCTTGCCCTCGATTTGTAGAACACGACCCATCACTTGGAAGATTCTTATTTCATCGACAACGAATGTGGCCGTTGATAGAATTCTTCTTGGGTAAGTTTTGAAAATGTTAACTTTTAAATTATATAATTTCTTTACACACATAGTATTACGCTTTTCTGGTATTTGGTGGCCGACCAATGTTGACCTACTAAAAATGGTGAAATCATGCTCTATAGAAAGACTATTTGAATCCGATTAAATCCAGAGCGTGTATCGACACTATTTCCCTACTGTATCCACATTAATATCAAGGAAACTAGATTCCATAATTACCATCGTATAAGGAGTTTGAAGAAAATTCTAGTGAAACTTGTCCATTGAAGTTTTACCTGCGAAGGCTTTCCATCTAGGGATGGATTTACTGGGGAGGGAGGGTTGGGCACCCCACCCCCTAGCCCTGGCCAGAGGGGGTGTGCTATTTTTCACGATAAAGCAAAAAAAAATATTACAGCCAATTTGAGTAATAATATGATGATAAGCGAACTGTGAACAACAATTACAATTCAAATACAGTATAGTCAAGCAAGACTTTGCAGTAGTCAAACAAGTTGATGGTCACCAGAGCTGGCAGAGCACTCCCCCCTCCTCTACCAGATCATGCTGGAACCATCCCTGTTTCCATCCACCTCAAAGTGGCAAAACATTTATAAATCTCTATTAATATAGTATAAGACTATAATAAACAAATTGGAACATTACAAACCTGTTCGTTCTAGACTTCTTGATCTTGGATTCGATCAGTTTGTGCGAGTTGGTAGCGTGAGGAAGATTGCGAAGCCCGTGTTACCGTTCAGCATACATAGCACTGGAACAGAGTCGCAGGAATTGAAGGAATTACAAGGAATGTTGAAAACAGAATTGACGAGCTCGGAGAAAGCGTAAGTATCGTAAGTTGGCTACTAACTCTTGACGAAGGGCCTTCGCTCGAAACGTCGAGTTTCTGCTTGTTTATTTCAGATAGTAATATAACCACTCAGCACAGCATTTTCACATGCATGCATTGGTACTACCCACACTGGTACAGACAGTTTTAGTATAAGTATCGTATTGCCTACAAATCACCGAACAAAAAACGCACCAGAAATGCACATGGAACGAGTTCAAATATAGAATCCATGCAATCACTTAGAGAAAAAAGAATTTCTGAAAAATTAATTTTTTCTCCGACAACCATATAATTATGTGAACCTTATCGTATATCTAGATTAAATATCCTGTGTTGTTTCTCCGTGTCTTATTCGGGAATTGATACTCCGCGGACACCGAGAAAAATAACTAGTTACATGTGTACTAACCTCTGTGCTACTTTACTCTTTAGGTACGTTCGTAAGAGCATTGAAATGCATAAATTGGGGGAGAACAGAAAGGTATACAGTGTGCTTTGGAGGTCTTTCATGGTTAGCACTATTTTCCATCCAGCAAACTGACCTGACGTCATTTTCGGAAGGTGGAAGAGGTGTTTAAATGGCTATGTAACTAACCCAAACCCTACCCCTACTCTAACCCCTAACCTCAACCCTAACTCTAACCCTAACCGAATTAATAAAAAATCCAAAAAGAAACGACTTTAGAAAATCGATAGGGCGGTTTGCTGGATGGAAAAAAGTGCTAACCGTCTTTCATTATCAGTTTTAAAATTCGTGTGCAAATTCCATATCCTCTATATTATCAACAACCTTTACTGTATGCCTTAGCGATTGGCTAATGTCCGTGTGGTTGGAGTCACGTGTGCAGCTTGTACCTTTGCAGCTCTTGAAAGATTGAAGTTCCCGGTAAACTGTCAAATATTTTTATATTTAATTAAACGTATTTGAAATCATTTTCTCCAAGAGCTCTGAAGCTCATCGAGGAAGATCATGACAAATATGTTTTCGCATTTTAAATAATTTAGTTTCATACTTCAAAAAATTAATTTATCGCTCGATAAGAACCAGACTGTGTACCGAATCTCAAACTTTTCCCCTAGGTTTTACTTCTGGATGAATGCAGCCAAATGACTGAACCGACTTCCTTGCTTCCCATGGCAAGGTAATATTTGCAGAGACATCTAAAGGGTACATGTATATACTATAGCGGCCATGTTTGGTTGATTCTAATATATTTTCCTTTCCCCTTTTTAGGTTTGGATGCAGAAAACTTGTACTTGTTGGTGACCCAAAAGTAAGCAGGAAAGAATGAGAGAATCTCTTTTCTTAACATTTTTTTGTTATAATTACAAATTATTAGAATTGTTATTTCAATTTGCCTTTCAGTCTTTCATTTGCTTAACTAACCGTTTGCCGTTCCTTCCTTTATTGGAGAGGTTCAGATTTGACTTGCATTACCGTTTCTCTCACTGGTTTAATACGCATTTGATTGGTTAATTGGGTAGAGTAAACGCATCTGATTGGTTAATTGGGTAGATTAAACGCATTTGATTGGTTAATTGGGTAGATTAAACGCATCTGATTGGTTAATTGGGTAGATTAAACGCATCTGATTGGTTAATTGGGTAGATTAAATGCATCTGATTGGTTAATTGGGTAGATTAAACGCATCTGATTGGTTAATTGGGTAGATTTAACCCATCTGATTGGTTAATTGGGTAGATTAAACGCATCTGATTGGTTAATTGGGTAAATTAAACGCATCTGATTGGTTAATTGGGACTAGATTAAACGCATCTGATTGGTTAATTGGGTAGATTAAACGCATCTGATTGGTTAATTGGGTAGATTAAACGCATCTGATTGGTTAATTGGGACTAGATTAAACGCATCTGATTGGTTAATTGGGTAGATTAAACGCATCTGATTGGTTAATTGGGTAGAGTAAACGCATTTGATTGGTTAATTGGGTAGATTAAACGCATCTGATTGGTTAATTGGATAGATTAAACGCATCTGATTGGTTAATTGGGTATAGATTAAACGCATCTGATTGGTTAATTGGGTAGATTAAACACATCTGATTGGTTAATTGGGTAGATTAAACGCATCTGATTGGTTAATTGGGTAGATCAAACGCATCTGATTGGTTAATTGGGTAGATTAAACGCATCTGATTGGTTGGTGGTAGCAGTAGTGGAAGTCAAAATCTGAACATGCTTTCGTTGGTAGGGATGCATCTACCTGAAAATATATATTATTAAGGAGAATTTCGACGTTTCGAGCAAAGGCCCTTCGTTTGGAGTTACTGAAGGTCGAAACGTTGAAATTCTCCTTATATATTTTGAAGTAGTTGCATTCCTACCAACGAAAGCTTGTTCATTTTATTGGCAATACCTACGCTGACACAGACAGTTCAAAATGTGAACTTCTCTATTGTGTATTTAGCAACTGAATCCCACAATCCAAGGCTCGGAACCATCACACGAATCTGGCTTGGAACAAACACTATTTGACAGACTTATAAAAATGGTAAGTGTTCACTTCAAAAACAGTTCCACTTCAGTTTTTAAAGACATCGATTTGGACTAGAATTATTACTCGCGTGAGTTTTGAACATCGAAATTAATATCCCAACTATTCGTTACAGGATTTGAAGCCAATTCTTCTACGAAAGCAGGTAGATAGGTTTTAAAAACAAATCTATACATGGATTATGTCAAGATTAAAATGATATGACTGTATTGATTTCTTGCCTTGTTCTGTCTTATAATATGAACTATATTTTCGTTTAGTACCGTTGTCACCCAGTGATAAGTTCATTATCAAACAGGTACATGAATGCAATAGAATAATTAAGTGAGTATGTGCTAATCATCCTCAGCTGAGAACTAAGCTGAATTACGAAGGATAAGAGCGCCTCTGGTAGACACCTTATGACTTATGTCCAAGACCCGATTTTGGTTGAAATGCTGGGGCAAGTGGAAATATATTTAGGGGAGGTGCAGCGTCTAGCCCACGGCCCCCATGGAATGTTAAGACTTAGAATATACTGTAGCGCCAAATTAAAGACAACTACATTTTAGGGAAGTGCAGCGTCTAGCCCACGGCCCCCATGGAATGTTAAGACTTAGAATATACTGTAGCCCCAAATTAAAGTCAACTACGTACATGACCCATGCATTGTACTGTACATTATGTATCATTATGACTGTACGACTCATCCAATATTGCTCTTACATTACTACACTTGATACAGTGATGATGAATAGTTTAGTTTTTCAAGTGTAGACTCTAAGCAACGCATAAAATATTTCACTTTGATCTATCATTTAACCTTCCAAACGAGAGGTGCATGACTTTTCAGGGGAGGTGAAAAAATTCTCAGTGGAGGTACCCACCTCCCCACACCTCCCTTTAAAATCCGGCCACGCTTATGTCTGATCGCGCAGCACAGCTACGATAGAAGGGTCCGTTTCGGGCTAATCCCAACCCACCCTGTCTACATTCCCTGTGGGAGTACCCGGAGAAAACCCACGACTTTCGGTAGAGCGTTGACTCACTCTTTTCACATGAGTGTCATGAGTTCGCAGCAGGATTTCGAGGTGGAAAACTCTTGCTTTGACGATTTTCTCGGACGATATGGTTTGACAATTCAAATGGTCTGACGATCGCGCCACCGAATGTGCCCTAGTTATAATCATCCGTCAGCCATACTTACACCTTTATATCTCTCTTCCATCTTCTTGTTTTAGGCTATTTTATAACGACCGCTTGTTGGATGGCGTCAATGCCGAGGAACGTGAACCTCTCGTTGTATGTACCATTGGTACTATTTTATTCAAGAGCTTAATATACATTTTTTGTCAGCTAGATAGCTGAATAGAAATGTACAGTATAAAGAAGATGTTGAAACTTATCTTCACTGGATTCTGAGTATGCTTTTCTTTCACTTCACTTCAGGATTTTGTTCCAACACTTTGTTTCTACAATGTCAGCAACGGCAGAGAAGAGTGTTCCCAAGATGGCAGCTACTTCAACAGTGCTGAGGTAAAAGTATTTAAACTTATAGAAACTCTTGAACGATGGTTCATGGTTTTGAATTATTGTTGTTGTTGTTGTTGTTGTTGTTGTTGTTGTTGTTGTTGTTGTTGTTGTTGTTGTTGTTGTTGTTGTTGTTGTTGTTGTTGTTGTTGTTGTTGTGGAGAAGTTTTGTCTGGAAATATAAAGGCTACCTGTAGTTTACACTTTTCTACTTCTGATGGATGTGAACGACTGGATGAGTTGCGAATGTTCAGATGAGGGTACACCATTGGGCTACAGCATAGATATAGGAGATCTAGATTGCTAACGCATACCTAGCGCAGGCGGGGCCTACATGATAAATCCAAGATGGCGGTACAACAGGGCAAAAAGACTATAGATTCTATTACGAAAATCAGGATTTTTGCATTTTTTGCCGTCGCATTGTTTCGAAACTTATTCTGTCAAATTTTATGGTAAAGAGAAACTTACCGCGAAGATTTTGAGCATATATATGATTGAATTGGATGAAAACTCGCAAAATTATCCAGCGATAAAAGTTCGTGTGAAATAGTCAGTTGGTCAGTTGGAGCGTTTTATTGCCAGAAATACTGTGCTATGTTAACATCTAGCCTTGTGAATGGTGTTTTATACTTGCATCTCTCATCATCATCTGCTCTGTCCTCATAATTATGAAAAATGAACTGTTATGTACCCCCCCCCCCCTCCTTGCTTGTTAGAGAAGTAAACTGATGAGAGCACTGGATGAGGGTCTATCATCTATGGTCTGTTATAATTTGCTTTTTATGCAAATAGTGAGCAAAAATTAAAGCAAAACTGTACAAGTTACTTATATAGTACTATATCAGTACTATACACGAACTTTTATCGCTGGATAATTTTGCGAGTTTTCATCCAATTCAATCATA